ATTGAGAGTGCGAAAGACAGCTCTGAAACAAGTCACATTTTAATTTACTATTGGGTTATTGACTCTACTAGTAGAATACGAACGTAAAGCATCTGTCTCATAGCAAGAGGTTATTGCATCCTATTTGTGGACCTCACAACATGTTGCGTTGTTTTGCTAGTTAAAGAACCTGTCGACAATATATCGCAGTTTAGTACTTCAATCAGCTGCTGACACAACTTGAACCAGTGACCTGTGTATCTACATTACCGAGATAAGAAAATGCAGTGAATGTGTGTGTCAACAGTGTGTGTAAATATGTTTACTTCATAGTGTATGCTTTTTTCTTCTCTGTACATAATGTGATTAGTTTTTGATTTCTAGACATGAACGAACAATACTAAGAAACAGATTTTTATATCTTCTACGTAGTTTTTTTTTTATAATAAATACAAATTAATAAGTCGAATTTAGACCTACAAACGACCCCTACAATTAGTCCTAATTTCAAGAAATATTTATCAATTCGTCTGGATGTTTGCGTCTGGATCTTTCCAATAAAAAAATAAAAAACTGTAACAGTCATCAAAGCGTGGTTACCATACAGTTACAATGGCCAGTTGATATCCCTATCCTAGAGGCCTTGCGAATCACAAGACGGATATACGGGTACAAAACACCGGACACTTTATCTGCTGCAGTCTTAGTCCTATTTCTACGGGACCTAAGTAGTGTTAATGTTAACAGTCGTTAGGTACACCTGGAGCGGTGCGGGCCGTGTTCGTGTACCTTATGAGGCACGAGATCTGTGTAACTCCACGGGCCCTCGGATCACGAACTTCTTAAATTAGTTAGTCTTTTCTTTGTGGACTTGTGGCTCAGGATCTAATGAATAGAAAAACTTAAAAACATGTATGGGGATTGTTAACGTGTTAGATTTGAAGATCCTTTATCCTAAGGTCCTCGCGTTACATATTTCTATTATCCCGTACCGTAAGTTCATTGATTCATGTGAGGACATTATAGGTTTCTCTTCACCCAACTTAAGTACTTCCTAAGTCCCATTTGAAAACGTTACGCTACGTTTCCAAGAAGGGTTGGTGTCGAAAAAAATCTGTTGCAATGTTGCCTAAACGAAAAGAAATTGGGAAAAAACCTGGAAGACGATGATGAACAGTGATTAATATATCCAATTTCATAATTAGGCTAATAGACAATTGTTGAGTCTATTTGTTTGCCTTTCAGTGGAAGCGTTCATGTTTAACCACTTTGTTGTACTAAATAATCACGGTGAGTAATCCATGATTGTGAAATAGTGCAGTCTCTATTATTGTTTCCAAACACGATTACATGATGGATTTGTTTATACATACAAATTGAAAAAAATCTTTTGACTAATTTTTATTATAAGATCTTACAAGTATCTATATATATTAATATTTGAAGAAAATTCTCTGTGCCCTTTCTTAAACAAATATAATGCACGGAAACATATCATATTTCGAATACTTTAGGTTTATTTATGTATACGAGTAGAAGAAGTGTAGGAAGCTGATATTTTTAAATAATATGCGACCGCTAATCAATATCTAGTATATTAATAAACTAAAATGTCGAAGATTTATTTACTATTTTTAGCCAACTTTAAAAACAAAAAACCGGAGGTTATCAATTCGTCTGTTTTTTTTGTATGTTTGTTACGCCATATCGCCGTCAATTGTGAACCGATTTTCAATAATCTGTTTGTATTCGAAAGGGTATGGTGCAATTACCACGAAATCAGGATCTGATGATGGGATCCTAGAAAAATCGAGGGAAGCCCTTAAATTATACAGCCCCGACAGCATGTTTTAGCTTATTTCTGTGGCTTTATAGGTATTTGCGTTTAGTAGTCATTTTGTTATGTTGTTGAGCTGATGATGGAAGGATCCTCGACCTTTAAGGATTAGAAATTAAGTATTTAAAAAATCTAATAATGTATAGACCTTGTTACCTTAAAAGTTACTTTGTTTATAATTTCCTGAAAAATAATAACAAATACAAGAATCGTGAGACATATTATACAAGTATATAACATTGTAATTATTATTCAAATGTGTAGTCTACTATTAGCTGTTGGTGCTCCATCTAAGGTAAAATATATTAACCTACATCCGCTTAAAGCCTTCGCGTAGCTTATGAACAGAATATTGTATATTTAAGATACAAAGTTTTGCAATAATTACTTTCAAATAACACGGACATAAACAAAACTAACATAAGTAGGAGAATGAGAATCTATCTATTATTAAAATGTTAATCTATGGCCTATAAATAATTCCAGTAGGTTTTGTTCATAATTTATTATGCTGACCTAGTTTTTCAGGTCGTACTAGGTCAGCAGTGGCAGACCAGGAAATCGGAAGAATATAACGGGAAATCTCATGACCAAGAAAAGTTTTGACTTGGAGATACCAACCAACCATGGACTATCAATTCTCTGAATTAGTTATTAAATTAGTTAGTAAATTAAGAAATATCATGAACTACGTACTAGAATAGACAAACGCTATCTGCAGGAACGCTCTTACTCCTTACACTCCTACCTCTATTTATTATTTACTACCGATTTGAGAAAAGTCTGATTCCATCTATTTTGCAAGATATTCATAGAGAGGAAACAGAGAGAGAGTTCAGACAGAGATCCATGTGTGTACGTATAAATTATTTATACTTTTAAATGTTTTTCTTAGCATAAAATTGCGGATAGGCTTTTAATTGCAATTTTACGCTTTTAGTATTACGCAATCGCGGTTTGCATGTTTATACAATCGTTTAGATGGTTAAAACGTATAGGATACATTCATTGTTATACTAGTAATGAACAATACGATCCTGTATGTTTTATAGTCTTGTAACCAAAAATAAACTATCCTTCTTTTTACAAACTGTTTAAAAAATTTTTTTTTTTTTTTATTTATATCTCAAACTATTCCAAAGCCTATTTAATAATTAAGACTACAAATGTGACCAGAATGTACTACTTTAGCAAAATAAATCTGAACTGTTCAGAAAAAATAGATATCTACACAAATTTTAAAGCAAAATACGTTAATAATACTAGCAAACACAAGTATATAGGAAGGTTAGCGTAAAGCAGGCTACCGCGTAGAGTACATGCGCATGCGACTGTGGCCGTACCTAGTCGCGGTGAAAGTTGTCAGTGACGCACTTTTGTATTCACGTAACTCACGAGGCAGTAGTAATTTACGCCACCAGTGTAATGAGGCCCCCCACGCTTCTCTCATTAATTCAATACATTTAGGCAATGCCGGCATCTCTATTGAAATCTGACAGCTCATGTTAAATTAGTCGTTTGTATAAATCGGCCCGGGGAGACATGCGGGTTTCTCGACCGCATGAAACATCCGGGACCGTCGCAGCGCTCTTGCTGCTTACTTACTATTTATAACTTTAACTAGTTTTTGTTGAACATTTAGACAGATTAACTTTGCTTGTGTATATTTTGTAAGTTGGGTTTTTGTTTTATGTTTTCTTCTTTGTAAACAACTTTATGAGGTAATGGTTTATGTATAAATAGTGTAAAATATTAAACTGTATAATCGTGTAGTATTACTTACATTCAAGTTATTTATTATTTACAAGCTTTTATCCGTGGCTTGGCTCGCATCAATTCAGTTATCCGTTTGGACGAAAGCCCTATAAACTTTTCTGTACCCCTGATAACATGTATGCCAAATGGTATCTTATCTCTTTCACAATCGCTCTTGCCGCACATTAGGAAAGTATAATAGATAGATTTTGGGACCTATTTTAGGAACTTGCATTTTTAAAGAATGTGTGTTAAGATAATTTGAGTTACCGTGTTATGTAAATATAATAGATGTTCCCACATTATTATATTTCCAAGTCCTCTAATTTTCTTCAGACAGTTTAATCTTTCCTGGAACTTCCCGAGTGTTATAACTCGGTGTATTCGTGGGCACTGCTATTCTGATCTGATCCTGGTGCACGGGAGTTACAGTGGTTGCCGTGGAGAAGGGACTATCCCGATCCCACATATATATAAAACGAGAAAAATATTTAAATACAACCCATCAGTCATGTCGGACTCGAACCGACTAAAATCCGCACACCGCTCCGACCTCACCTCTCACCGGAGCGCTGACCATCGCAGTGGTAGCACTCAGGAGTTGGCTTCTTGTGGATCAGACGCTGGTGATCTCCAAAGGATCCTTTCCTGGTGATCACCTGCGTTAGCCGTAATGAGGGGATCCCGTGTTGTTTCTCGAGCCAATCCTCCATAAGATCTATCCGCCGCAATAACCCAAAAAAATGCCATTATTGTTAATTCCAATCCTTCACGTGGGCGATTCAGCCCAGGAGGAGACCGTCCTCCACGTAGTTTTTGAGTGCCCCGTATTCGGGACTCAGAGGTACGAGGCCGAGCAACGCCTTGGCACTAACTTGGTGAAAAAACGAGCATATCTACTTAACATAGACAAATAAATTCCTGCAGTAGGCGGAAGTTATATGTAAGACCATGGATAGAAACAGATAAATCTAAATAAGAAAAATGGAAATAAAAAAGTTTTACAAGCACACTAGAAGTTAAACATTACAAACGACTCTTGTCATGCAAGAGATTGACATATACTGTCAATCAATCAAAAGTCAAAAAAAAAGTCCTTCACGGGGACCTGGCGGAGCACATCTGTTTCTCGATTTCTCGAGTCTCAGGACTCTGACCCAACACCCGCACCCTAAGGGCTCTCGCCTCCAGGTCCCACGGTGAAGTTCCGGCCAGAAGACGTCTGGCTCAAAGGAGATCGTGCGTTACTCCCTTATGACCCTAATGGCCAAGACTTGCTGATAATTTAATTGTGTTAAAGTTTTTACAGCATTGGCATGATACATATCAAAAACTAATATTGTAAAGGCATTATTATAATTTTTAAATATTACTGTATAATAATTAAGTGAAATAAAAATGAAATTTTAAATGTACCTTAAGTAAGAAATTATACAGCGGGAAGTTGGTCGGGGAAAGAATCCAATTTTTTTATTTCCTCTTGCACAATTCTGAAATATTCTTCTTCCGCTATGTGGTACCGTTCCTCGTCATCCAATATAGATTCAGTTGTGTCTTCTAAAGCCTGTAGCTCTTCATTCCGCAATTTCAAACGGATTTCTTTCACACGGTTGTCTAATATGTGTTCACGTCTTGTTTCCCTTTCGTAAGTTTGTTGCATAAGAAGCCTATCCTTAATGCCCGGCACTGCCATATTTTCGGATAATTGTACAAGAAATAGCGAGCCATGGCTATCTCCAGCGGCTACTAACTTTCCTTCGTTTTGAGGAGCCATTTTTGTAAGAACATGATCGGATAATTTTAATTGATTTACTGGTTCCTTGTACTTGCGAAGCATATCCCAAAAGTAAAAGAATCCTCCCGCACATATTGACATGTAACTTGAATATCTCATTGGAGCCCAGCATGCATCGGTCACCAAATACCTATAAGGATTGGTCACAATAATAGGGGCAGTTCGAATTTCCTCACTCCATATCCGTACTGTATAATCTCCACATGTAAGAAACATCCTAAAAGTACAAGCGCTTCTTTGAACAGCTTGAACTGGGCCATTGTGAGCTTGCCAATATGAAATTAACTTTTCCGAGTGAGATCTACCTAAACGATTAACATTGATAACTAAACCCGATTCCGTTCCACAAAGAAACTTTGTTGGCAAACCGTCGTCGTATTCTAAAAAACTAATACCCTCAGCATTGCTCAGATTTGGTTCTTCGTTTGGTGGAATTTTGATTGATATCGGTAATTGATCTAAAGGTGCTGAAAGCTTTCTTAAATCCCACCATAGACACTGACCATCAGATGACCCACTGAAAAAATCTGTGTGAGTTCGAGAATGTATAAAACGTAACGATGTGATTGACTCGCGATGGGAATTGTGAGTATAACTAGCAGATATAGCACGGTTACTTTGTCGAATATCAAATAAATTAACAATACCATTTTCAAGACCGAGTAATAACAAGTCAGGTTTTATGGGGGAGCACGCTAATTGCCAACAAGGATATTCGGGATATATGGTAAATACAGGCTCCGTCTGTTTATGTATATCCCAGATATAACATGAGTTTACTTTATTTAGTGCGGGATTTGGTATACTTGTTTTATAGCAGTAAGCTACTGCTAGCTTAGGGCTGTTTTCATTAGTAAATTTAACGCATGAAATAGGCCTTTGATGTATATCGCGAAACACATTAGCAACCCGAATACTGTAAGTTTCTTTACTTTTTAGATGTTGCATGTTGTCAAAGTATATCTGATACATTTCTATAGCATTATTTTGATCTATATAGTGCATCATCGATGGTGCTAAACGTAAAATTGTTTCACAGTAGCTTTCATCGCGCATAACTCTTCGACGATGTCGTAGTGTATGCTCTTCATTTGATGGCTGCACTTCCTTTGGCCAACCGCCTTCAAGATGGTTTATACCCTGTTCACGGGTTTCCAAGAGTGGCGTGTTCATCTCATTTTCTGAAATGGGGAGAACGGCTTGTACTGCACGATGGACAGGATTTCGAAGTATGTATTCATTTTGGTGTTCATTTGACGGATTAATAGAATCCAGCATTTGAGCCGGCACTGCTTGAAATAGCGGCTGCCTGCCGTAATTCTTTCGCAATTTGGAATATTCATATGTTGTTTTGATATATGAAGACATTTTGTATATTCGTAACCGCGTCTCTACTGAATAACTTTTAATAACATTATTTTGAGGCCGTCAGATGAGTAAATATTGAATCAACATGGCTATGGCGTAAAATGAATATTGATGACGAATTAAACAATATCAAGTATGAGTAGAGCGTCATGACTGTGTGGGAACATATGTGTCCTTGGTTGGTCGACTTATTTTCAAGGGAGTATTTAATAAGTACTTGTATACATGACTAAGCAATTGATTAATATGACTTATTTTATCACTCTTAGAAGTTCTAATTATGGAACAATTACTACTAACAGCGAATAGTAATTTAGTTTCTGTGATGTGTTTGGTTCATTTATCGTATTTCCTGTAAACGAAGTATGTCTTGTACCAGGAAGTATCGTAACCACATTGTTGAAGGCATGAAGTTGTTATGCGGTTTACATTAATATGCATCGAGTCCATATGGCAATACTTATGTGCGAGACGTGAGACGACTGACTCTCCATGTTACGGCTTTATGCTGATTCACTCTACTTATTCTAATTTCAATACCTAAAGTTACAATAAAACAATTGTGACATTAGATTCCTAATGGAACAGTGTAGAGTAATTTCCCTTTAAGTTACAATTTATTTATAATAAAAATCTAGTGATTTATTTATGACAAAAATGAAAACCTTATAATAAATTTTAGTGACCATTTTGTCTACTTTTGTTATTAATTTTCCTATATTTATTTATTAATTATTTACATTCCATTACTTATTTACATTCAAAAACTATTTCAAAACTTCTGTATTTGTTAGCAGAAAATATTGATTATATTCGGGCCTCGAGCTAATATTCGAAAACTATCTTGAAACTTAATGAAGAACTTAGTGTTGAAGTTGAATATCGAATATACTCGTATAATTGTGTATTGAAAACCATCTTGATCGAATCCTTTGTAGAGCTTTTTGGAACTCTACTACAGACGAGTTCCACAAGTTCACAATTTTCTGATTTAATTTATGGGAAAAATATTGTTTTACCAAATTCTCATGGCGTTTGGCGCATAATATTATACACAAATAAACTTTGTTTTGTTTGCGTTAAACGTACAATAAGTTCTTTATTACAATGTAATGCAAATATAATATTCCCACTAACAATGTCAACGAACCCATAAAAATATGAAAACATTCTTCCTTACCATAAAAATATAAACGTATTCCATGCCAGTATTGTACAATCATTTATTAGTCACTTCACATTATTGTATAATTGCCGCTTTCTGTAAAGGTAATGAAAACATAGATGGTATAGATACACTGTCACGAATTGGCACAAGTCACAACACTGTCTTTTGCGTCACGATTAGAAATTCGAATTCGGTGATAGCGGTATGCGCGCGCGCCGTACGTTCGTACGCACAGACGTCCAAACTGTTACTAGTGCGGCGCGTGACGACACTACTAGTTGCGGAGGCACCGAGGCTCTGCAGTACACAAACAGAGCGCAGATCCAACCTCCTAAGTACTACGACTGGTTTGCCTTAAACGTGTCCAGCCAATTGATGTGTTGACTGATCATTATACAGCTAACTCGGCTAGTGCTGACAGTAAGGTACCGTCAGCACCACTGCGCAGTGCTAATACGACCTCGCCCTTTTGTAACTTTTACCACAAAGCTAAGTTGATTTGCAGTAGTAAATGTCAAGGATATTGCTCAGTTTACAGTAAATATTTTAAGAAACAAAAGATAGATCTATGCAAGTCTATTGTCATTTTTATAATTTCAGTTTTTATCTAAATATTTTTATTATGTTTGGGGTTATTATTTGAAAAGTATTGAGCGGATAAACTTCAATGTTCACGCTTATGGTAACAAAGGTAGAATATTAGTTAAATTGCTGGAAAAGTCTTTGGTAATGTGGAGCAGCGCAATGACACGCTCACGACTTCGTGTAAGTACTTAGATATTTGATGAAAGCATAAACCGTGAAGCCAAAGCATATCCACAATAGCCTATATACATACGTGTTTGTCAGGAAAGATTTTACATCCACCAAACTAGGGTATATGTTATCTCGTTCTTATTATATTTCAAATAAATTTACAAATAATGCAGACACAAAAAAAAGATATTTTATTGTAGGGATACTGGTATTTTCAATATTGTTAGTACTGAGTATTCCACCACGCAGTCCACTTTATTTTGGTAATAATATTTATTTGCAGTTAAGATGCACTTACCTCGGGTTTGGTTTCATAGAGACGTAATCCTTACCGATTTTTTTATACTGTGTGGATAAAGTGAAATACAAAATAATTAACAACTAAATAGTCAGACACCTAAGTTTTATAGAGTGTATTCTTCTTCTAACTTCAACACTTTTAAACTGCAACACTTTTTTCGATACATACCTATAGGTTGAGAAGAGATAGAAATGTAAAAGTAATCTGTTTACATATTAATATGACAAGGTTCAGATTATTTAAAAAAAAGTGCAATATCGAAAGTAACAGAATGCCAAAATAAATTTTATTAATCAAGACCAATAACCTTTACTGAGATATATGGAGATTAGAGAGATCTGACGCATGTATTAGAGGTCGTTCTATGCTTCTGTTGTACTTTTGAAATTAGGTCTTCGAATCAACTGATATAAGGTTGTTTAAGACTGGTAAGTCCTAGTTAGTATTGTAATCCGCTAGCTGTACCTTATACATATATTTAATTAAGTACCTTTGCAATAATAATCTACACAGGTGCACAAGAACACCGTGTAAATAGGTTTATCAGTAAAGGAAAATATTATAAGAAACGAGTCCGGTATATGATGCAATTTAAACTTGAAGAGTAGAAAACTAATAATTAATATGTAATTCATAAGGTTCTCGTCGTAAGTACGCACGTACGTTACGTGCGTTCTCGTACGTACTTATATATTGTCATTGCAGGGGATTGATGAAAAATTCAACTGCGTTATGAATTTCAGATGATTTCATATTGAAGATTTAACCTTTTAGTTGACTTTTTAACACTATAATTTTGATTCACAATCTTTAATAGAATAATCTGTTGAAATTTAACAATTATAAATGAGCAATTCTTGTATGTATATATATACGAATATGTACCTACCTATAATATAATATTGTAATTACAGTAATTGCAGATGGGGCAAGGATCATACTTTAATCTAATAACCATTTTTATGTCCGTCACTAGTTATTAGTATATATAATAACAACAGCAATAGTTGTAACTTTTCTGAGATAATATTATAATTAGAGGTAGTAAGTAATTATTTCTTTTTTAGAAAAAGCTAACAAAATATATAGCAACCGGCCAATATTTACTCGATTTTTCTTCTTTCACTAACTTACTTTTAGTCCATGTTTTGTTACATTACAATTATTAGGTACTACATAAAAGAACATCAAGTAATTAACAATTCATTTTATAGAGTATACGGCCCGGACTCATTTTTTGTGCCATCTGGAAATGTGTTAATAGAACGATAGCTTAAATCGCGTCTGTAGCAGTGTAGTAAAGTAGGTGGGCCATACGTTTCTAATACTTAACACCTCCGCTTTTATTTATGTTTACTTAAAAGACATTGTAACTATGTCTAGCACAGACTTAAACTCAGCGTTTTACTAGTTAACAATTATAAAATTACTAACGTTTCACTGTTTAGAAAGAAAATACTGAGTCATCGTGCAATATTTATGAATTCGCTCCTTTAATGAGAGAATTTTATTAAAGCGAGCACAGATGATGCGTCGTTTGTTAAACATAAAGAGTTATAATTAAAGAATAACATTCAAGCAATGTGCAGTTGTTTGTTCAGCTTTATGAGAACAACACCTATAAAATATAATCCTTTACTGAACGTAGTTTATTTTACAACCGATTCTGGAATATTCTCTAGAATATTTTTCACAAACAAACATTTTATTAGACTTACCTAAGCGCCCGAATATAGCATTCCGCAGATTGGTGCTTCACCAAAACAACAACCCTACGCACCTGCTGTTCATCACACAGCACACAGCACACAGCACATCAAGATACTTCCTGGAAACAACATTCGTCTAACTTCAGTGTCATCCTTCTTACAACCCTGATCTGGAACATTTCTGAAAATTGGTTTCATTGCACTTTGCATAAAGAGTAATGGGACTAATCCCACCCACACGCCCACCACTGTAACTCCTGTACACCAGGATCCACAGCAGTGACCCACGAACACACCGAGTTATGACACTCGGGAAGTCCCAGGAAGAAATTAAACTGTCTTGGAACCCGCAACGAAATTAATCAGAAGAAAATTGGAGGAGTTGGAAATACAGTAAATCCACTTCCCTCCTTAGCAAAGCGGGAGACAAAATGAAGTAAAATAGGCATACACCCTTTTAAACAGGGAAGCACCACGGCCACAAAATATTACGGGTCCTACATGAGCTATATTTGATTTCTATAATATGTATGGCAGAATCGCCTAAACGCACGTAAATTCACCCTAGTTGACACAAGATCCCCATAGTATACCGCCCCAGATGTCACCTGCAAGCTATTCAGCATTATATTACCATTATCATTATACCAAAGACTACATTCCCAGAGGATATGATGAGCAGACTGTTCATAATGAGAGTTAGGTGTTGAGCATTGACACAATGGTAACTCGACTAATTTAAATGAATACAACTTGCTCTTAAAGTTACCATGACCCGTAAGAAATTGAGCGACACAGTGATCCACCTCAAGCCATGTCCTCGACAACCGTTCGCGAACAGATGGAAAAAATTGGTAAAGATGGCGCCCCTTGGATGATTCGTCCCAGCGTTGCTGCCATTCGTCTATGAGGTCATTATAGACATCGGACTGCTGTTGAAGCAATCTTGTAATTTTACCGCGATCCCGCGCGCCCAAGAAATCGCATTCCATGTTTTGTCTTGAATAGTACATGGCTGCACGTCTCTGCACCTCGAGATCGACCGGAAGCCCACCCGCCAACACCGGCAAAGCCTCAGTGCTAACCGTCCTATATGCCTTGCACAAAAATATCAGTGCACAAAAATATCAGTGCACAAAAATATCAGTGCATAAAGAGTAATAGAAAGTCATTAACAAACATTTTTGTAGGCTACATTCAAGAGTTACCCATGTACCCAATTTGTAAGACCGATCAATATAATCTCCCAAAAATCACAACCAGAATAGGACGGTATACTTATTAAAACCTAATATTGTTTCAAAAATGTTTTATTAGTAGTGATACTAAAGTTATATCTATGCTTAGCACCTCAACCTCAACTCAATCTCCATTCAAAAATCCATTCAACATTCGGTTTACGACTGTTCGAATAAAAATTTGCTGGTCAAGAGTTAATTGGTATAATTGGTCATTAGTGGCTGTGCAGCCGTTCGGCCGTTCTTGAGCTGATTAGTAATTGACCCTATGATGACCTTGTGCTCGTATATTCACGGTGTCACTGTTATGAGGTTATCTATCACCCACTACTAGATACAGGATTAAATGCTGAGATTCATGCGATGTTGATATTGATCACTATCTATACTACAATCAGAATCTATTAAAGATCTATTGCAAATTTTTCTAAAGTTGCATCCTGTTTCCACTAAATATACGGTACCATCAATGTTTAATTTATAAAATAGAATCATTTTAGATGGCAGTAGGTACATACTTAAACTTAATATACCTACTTAGTTATTGTTTTATTTGACGTGTAGTTCAATTGATTAATGTTTAATCTAGAATGGTTCATTAGCCAATTGTTTTCAGTTTGCCGCACTTATCGCTACGCTACATAGATGAAATCAGACATTTATATATGCCCAGATATATACAGAGCTTAATTGCTTAGATGAATGGAGGTATATTTTATTCTCGTCCAATAACAATTCAATGTCAAAATACGTTGTTTGTCTCATATTATTCAATTACGCGTTCGCTTTATTTATTATTTATTTATATCTTTATTGTGTACAGTTAAAACATAAGTTACTAACAAATATATAGACGTAACAATAGGCGTTCTTATCGCTCACGGCGATCTCTTACAGACAACCTTAATACGGATATTAGATGTTTTAAAAGTTGGGTAGTTTACATACACGTAACGCATTATCACGTGAATATTTAAAAATATCATTTAACAACAAGTCTGTATGCATCTGGTTTTTCAATATAAATAAAGCCCCATCGATACAATCCAATCCACATATAATACAATTTAAGGCATCAATTATACCTATACGTCTTAAAAACTATAGGACTTAAAAATGTAAATAGGCCATGAAACAGTTTTATATTGCGTATTTTTTAATAAGGTAAATTGTGATTTAACTTTAACCTTTAGCTACCGAGGTGGTTCTTCATTTACACTAGTACTGTTGTGGATCTTGAGAGGCCGCATATACAATACTGAGTTTTAAAGAAAATGCGTACGATATGCATCAACTATAGTTTATTTTGCTCATTTGGGATCTACAAATGAAATAAAAGAAAATTTTAATAATAACCTTTATCAAACTTTGAAACGATTAAATGTATCGCGGCTAGGGGCAGAAGTTTTTCTTTTATTTTGTCATGGGTTCGATACCCAAGGAGGACAAATATTGTTTGATGAGCACGGTCATCACACAATATTTGTTTTGACGATTTGTTCTGTGTCTGGGTGTTATTTATCTGTAATATGTATGTATTTAGACATAATATAAATATGTATACTAGGTTGTAGTATGTACCTAATATATTATGTAGTATAGGAGAGGCCTATGCCCAGCAGTGGACTATTAAAGACTGTTGATGTGTATATCAGCATTTTGGTTCTTATAGGCTCTGCCTTGTGACTTTTAATCTTTGCCTCCGTTTATCAACTAAAAATGCTACTTGACGCATTAAAAATTATAAGTTAAAATATAACTTCTTAGGAACCGTAAAATATACTTTATTAAAATTTAAGAGTTATTTCTATTATAAAAAATCTAATCTAATCTTTAAACAAAAATCATACAACAAACTTAGTCAAAATCTGGGCTCACGTGTTTAGCGCATTGTTAACAAACTTGTTTTTTTACAAGACAAACATTGATATGTAGATTTTCTATTTAGTTTAGGTGGTCAAGGTGCACATATTCTTCTTACCTTTCCTTCGTTGGCTTGACCTAGAACTGTTCTAGCGCATCAGAAGCTAGTATTCTGGTTAAAATCATACGCAGTTCACGAGACAAGCGTAAGTTGAACACCCTCCTTTTTATTTGCTCGTATACTAGTTATCGAACTAATTGTTCACCACAATCAGTATTTTGTTTTAGAGGCACATCATGTGAAATATGTGCATTGACTGAACTTATGTCTAAAAATTTAAAGCCATGTAGGTAAAACACGTTTACACCCCAACGTTCCAGGTACTTCCATTCTTCAAATTACCAGCTAGATTTCTGAAATTAAGCACTTTATTTTAATTGTAGCTCCAACAAAAAAAGTAGTACTGACAGGCCCAACGTCAGTACTACTCGTAATTTAAAATCGGCATAACTTACCAAAAACAAGGTAGAAGGGGTGTCATCGCCTAATCTTAAATATTTGTCCCCATCTCTAGACTGCTGAGGCTCCAAAATCCTGTCTCTAGATACAGCTCTAAATGTACCACCTCCTTGCATATATAGTTTCTCTAGTCTTCTGGAGCCGAAGGGATCTAATCTTTCATCGTTGGGAGACGTCAAGGGTGATGGTGATGAAAACGGGTTGTCTATGTACTGGTCATGGTATGGCATGATGGATTCTAGACTTTCCAACATTGTTGTCAGGTCTGTGGGTCGCACTGGTTTTGTTCCAGATTTACTCTTGCTTTTAAACACCTTAGGGCTAACATTTCGACCATTAGCATTACTATCCTGCCTCTCATCTCTGACTTTCCGCCTCGTCTTTCGCAGCTTATGTCTTAGCTCCCTGGATATACGCATGGGTCTCTTCTGCACGGGGAAGTGGTAAATCTAATAACTTGTCAACCCGCCACGGCCTCATAGGCCCCACGTCGGTACTTAAATCTTAACAATGCATTTTCTACCTTTCTAATCCATACTAGTCCAAACTAGTATTATAAATGCGAAAGTGTGTCTCTCTGTCTGTCTGTTACCTATTCACGCTTAAACCGCTGAACCTATTCAGATGAAATTTGAGATAGTTTGAGTCCCAGGAAAGGACATAGGATGATTTTTATCTTAGAAATCATCATTTAAGGGGATGGAAGCTTGTATGAGGAATCAATAACCGCTGAAACGATTTAGATGACATTTAGTGTGGAGATAGTTTGATTCTTGAGGTATGATATAGACTACTCATCTTTGCTGCGTTTACCGCAATAAACAACATACACGCGGGTAAAAGCTAGTCAAAAATAAAGACTTATGTAAGGCTGAATCTGTCATAATAATTAACATGGAGTTTGCAAAGCATTAGGAATGTAACTATAATGATATAATAATATGGGTTGTGATCAATCTGCTCTAAAGAATTCCAAAAACCAGGTTCCGGAAACCGTTGTACGTTTAGTTGTGTCCTCCAGTTAGTCTCCTAATACAGTAGTATACTATACCATACAATATAGTAGTAGTGGTAATGTTATAAATTCGTTCAAATAGTTTATTGAATAGGATGGTTTGATTGAGTAAGATATTTGAGAGTTTCGTATAACAAGGTCAGGTCAACAAAGGAGCAGTCTCGGGGTTTAAATTATAAATCTTATCTAAAGTCAATTCTATTATAATAATCTATTATATACGTGATTGATAACAATCAAATTCTATTCTAAAAATAGTTCAACTGTGTTTTTCCCATGGCTCAGCAAGTATGTATGTCAGTTATGTCGGTAAAAATCCTATATCCTTACTCAAGAATCAAAGTGTCTCCGTGACAAAACAAATCGGTTTAGCAGCTTAGCCGTGAAAGCTTGACAGACAGACCGACAGAGTAAATTTCGGATTTATAATATTAGTAGGGATTACTTAACGAGTTTCAGGCATCATGGGTCCGAAATCAATACCCGAAAGACCGAGGATATGCGATCTAGTGTAGAAACTCGCACACCACTGCGAATTGATACCAAGGACGTGGAACGCGGCCAAAATGTTGCCTACCTTAGAATCGTCGTATCACAACTCCGGCAGTCACGAAAACTGACTCGGAGGATTAAAATCAAGGTATTCGGGTCCAACATAAAATCCGTACTGCTATATGGGCGCGAAACGTGGAAGGTCACAAAAGCCATCTCGACCCAGCTCCAGGTCTTCGTTATCCGTTAGCTTGGCTGAATTCTTGGGGTATACAGACCTGAGAAGATCTCCAATGAAGATTTGTTAGAACGCTGCCACGAATCACCGATCGAACTCCAGATCAAGCGCCGCAAGTGGAACTGGATTGGCCGCACTCTGCGTAGGGATATATCGCCAAACAGGCACTGGATTAGAACCCGCCAAGACGTGGAGTGAGGTCAAGTGCGAAGCTCAGGACTGAACGCGATGGAGGACACTGTGGACGCCCTCTGCCCTATCTCAGGGACTTAGGATATTAAATCAAGTAAGTCACTTAACTTTTAGATAAATAACTTGTGTTAAAATGACAAAATATCAGCCATTTTTTTATGGTTTATTATTGATAAGGTTTTTGTCTTAAACGTCTTTCTTGACCTACGAATAGGGATTAAAATTTATAACTATAACAGTTCTTTGGTGCTGTGTGTAATTCTATTTTTTTTCTATTCGTCATAAGGGCTTAGTTTTAATAGTAAATAATAATAATAAATATTTCGGACACCTGCAACACAACGCCACCTAGTTTTAAACTGAGCAGAGCTTGTACTATGAAAGCTAGATTGACTGATAGAATACTTATATACTTTTACATATGTATTATACATAGAAAATACCAAAACTCCGACATTAATATTTGCAGATCATACAAACATTTGGTCCGGCCCGAAAATCGAGCCTGAGACCTCAGCACAGCAGTCGCATACGTTCGGATGGCATTTAATAAACCAAGTCTCAAGTATTTACAATTCCAACTGAGTCTATTTTGTGTTTTACTACTGAAGTGGTCTTTTAAATTAGTAAAAATATAAATAATTAATTATTTAAATTTAAGATTTGTAATAAAAATATTTAGACACGTACACTTTTGCCACAAAACTAATTTCAGGTAGCGAAATCATCCTCCGAAGTATGATGATATCTTTATAGACAAAGATGTAAACACTACATCTAAATCGTTAATTGAATGATTATATAACGGCAATTGAATTATTTTTTGTCAATTGTGGTAAAATCTATTTTACCACAAAATGTTATTCTTCGACAAGGTCTTGCTCAATTGTTTAGTTGAAATCCTGTCATCAACAAACCATGTCATAACAATCTCGATGACAATATTTCTTGCTTTATCATGATGCATACATTTGACGGATGATTTAAAGTATTTCTTAAGGACATTTCCAATTGTAAAACAATTTAATATAAAGCCTTACTAATACATAATTAAAAGAAGCCGTGGCTGAGATTGGTCACGTACACATTACAATGCTTGAAATATTAGTTTGCTCAATATTATAAAATATTTATTACTGTCATTTTATGTTTCAGTAGAATTTTGTAACGAAGATAAACGAAGCCGCTTTGTGGTAAGTTTTTGCTGGGAAATAGACAATACGTGCATGATATATCGACACTTTGCAACGGTCTTCGTTTCGCACAAATGAAAGAATTCTTTGTATACACAATGGACAATGGAGCGTGCCAGAGAAACGATGAAGATGTTTGTAGTTTGGCGTATACATATGTAGGAACACACGCCTAATCCGGCTCGGTTTTAGGCCGGTACGGCTAGGATTGTCCTTACCTTGATTAGTAAGCCGGCGAGGTCAGTGTGTATTGGGCTTAGTTATTGACAACAATGCTTACAGAGAAAGTCTTGTTTGTTTAGATTTGAATACGTTGTGTATTTCTCGATTATACATAGCGGTATATAGATACGGAATATTCGTAGGATAAGTCATAGAACTACATCGATTTTAAACATTATATTAGCGTCAAATCTCTTTTATTGTTACGTAACGCTATTTATCTCTTATGAAATTTCCTTCATGGTTTGTGCGATTTTGGTGCAAGGAGGTGCTCAGTTGGGCACCTTCTTGCACCAAAAACGAACTGGGAAGTATATACTCCCAACAAGTCCTCGACAAAATTTTGATGAAATCGTCTGCTTCTAGAATAGTCGACCCTGTTCCCTCGAAAGAAGTGAGCTGACACACAGCACCAAAGAACTGTTGTAGTTATAAATTTTACTCGGTTGTGTTACAACTTTGCAAGCTTGAATCTGTACTAGACAAAGTTGTCTTATATTACTAGTTGTTTGTATCTTTATTCGTCAATAATTTGAAAAAGATGTAAACACCAGACGGACTTGTTTGTCTCGCTGTTAGCGATCCTGACTGGTAAGCCAGAGGTCGAGGGTTTGATACAATATTTTTCCTGGTTAGAAAAATATTGAAAAATATTCCTAACCAGGAAAAATATTGATGAGCATGATTATTACACTCTGAGTGTATTTATTTATAACAATTTTGTTTCGAAAGACATACGTATATTTATTTATAAATATATGGTGGACGGCAATAGGCTTACCCTTACTACGTAAGTGTAGTTGAAATGACAGTCAGCAAAATGTTGCCGTTTAGTACGCCAGAGACGTGAATGCATGACAATGTTGTACAGCCTACATTCCTGGAATACATACGTGCGTAAACCGTTCATATTTAATTAATACTAAGAAATATAAATAAAAAGGACTATTATAATTGTGGTTGCCATTAAATGAGACGACGTGTACGGTCTATTTAAATCAGTTTTTGTTGTAGCTATGTAGGCGATTACTGCGAATAATCTCTTGTCAATGTATTTGTGCACACTTAATTTGTTTACTAAACATTCGGAGCGATGAAAGCGTGATTCAAGTACACAAAAGAAACGTTTCTTTTATCAGAACATGTTAATTAAATTCAATTAACGAGAATTTGTTTTATTCTTGTGATGTTGTTTTAATGTTTTCAGTAAACAAAACTGAACAAATAGATACCGCTGATTAGACATAAGGAATATTAGTTTTTTATGTACTGTTACAAGATTTTGGTATCACACAAATCCTAAAGAGACGGTCCATACTAGACTTTTTTTTTAAATCGGGGGACGATATATTTTAAAGATCATCAAGACCAATTTCAAAGCGAGATGTAATTCGAGATTGGAGTATATTTAAGAGCGAAATGCATGTGTATTTAAATACATATTATACACCTATGCGTGTATCAAAACACAGTTCTTGATTTAACAATAGAAAGACGCAAAATCCGTTTGATGTCATTACAAAGCGGAGGCCGAGCGACTGAATAACCTTGTAGTACATGCCATCCCCTCGTAATTGGACCTTTGTAGTGGGATCATCCAATAACAAGACCTATAGAGGTGCACATTTTACGACTGTATTCACCGGAATACCGAACGAATACGAATAGCGTACCGACGCTGTGTCGCTTTTGTTACTGCCTTGTTGTGTTTGCTTTTGATAGTGTTAGGCACTGAAGATGGCTTGACGGCGAGAACTACCTCTGTACAGATATAATAAAGCTGAATACTTTAGTTTCTTTTAAAGGTTTTAATCTCAAGATTTTTAAATTGGCCAGATTGTTTGAAGAAGATTAAAAGCTAATAATTTTAACATAACGGTGTGAGAACGGAGCAAAAATCATAGACAAAAACAAAACTGTCCCCCTCGACACAGGAATTATTCCTAGACCGGAAATTGACTTTTAAAGAAAAAACACCTTCCAAACAAGTCTGTGTGTTGGATCCAAAAATCACTATTATTAAAGGCTGATTCAGATTACCTTAGTTGGTAAACTTTTCAATAGTAG